CCCAAATGGTGACCGCTCTTGGAGCCTACGGTAAGTGGGATTTTATTGTTTTCGCTACCACGGACAATCACCTCATAAATAAATTTAGCTGTCGAACGGGCTCGTAACATCGCAAGACAGGCTGACGTGATCGCCGCCCTGTCGTTGGACGTACTCAAAGGCACCACACGGGCATACGATCCAGGTACAGTTTCCTCAGCATTACAGATAAAATAAACAACCCGAAACCAGTAAACAAGGCAGTTTACCCGAATTGGAGAACTTCAACAAACATTCTAAAAGAAGGCGGTGGGTGAGGAAACTTAAAAATTGGACTAGCCCACCTTTGGCACCCGGATGTGATAGAGCTGGACAAAAGTGATCTTTCTTCATGTCTACCGGTACGGAGAATAAATAAATGGTTTGGGAAGTAAACATAATGTAAACAAAAGAAATACAAACTAATTATAATGAAAAGAGAGCAGATAACTGAGAAATTGGCACTTAATCCACACGGATAGGAAAGTTTTTACGTCCAATTACGCGCATGTACCGTAATTCAAACAATTGCTCTGAATTACGGCTATTTAAAAGCCTTTCACAAATTCAAAACTCCATAATCAAAGGTACGAGATTCAGATATCCATAAAATTCGTCCACATAAAGGCCAAAATCTATCAGCACTTCGGCTTCGATCCCTGCTCCACTCTGATGCCAATCCATCACAAATTGCAGGTGAACACTACAGTTTTTTGACCACATTACTCGGAAACACTAGATTCTAGTACTTTTCAGAATCCCATCGTTACTGTAATAAAGTGCAAGACGCCTATACATTGAGATGTGTACCTCAGGTAATGTTTTTGAGCTGTTTGGGACAGGGTAAATTGGGGTGAAGGATGTTCGTACCTACTAACATAATAACTTTTCCGAAGAAACAGTCCCATAGGTCTCCGTGGGTATTGTGGTTTACTTATCTGTTCATTTGAAAGCATTGAAATCTTCATTAATGAAGCGATGCCATAGGAAATGACAAAAAATCCCGAAAAACCAGAGTTAACTAATTTTGACTTTCATCTCTCAAAAGCTCCACTTACACTGGTGTGCAAAACTTAGGGACGAAAGCAACTTTCGATCACTGAACCTCCCAGACGACAAAGCTCGATGAAATTTATACCGTACCAATAGAGGATCATTACGGCATTGCACAGGAAGTAACTGGCAGAGAATCGAAATAGGACTAGCAAATAAGGCATATTTATTGAAAGGTATCGATTACGCATAGTTCCTCACAACTTATCTTAGTACTTCAAAAAAAGCGACGCGGTTCCTAATAGGGTATGTGATCACCACGGACAGCAGTAAATGCTCTGCAATGCAATCCCATACTTTCTACGAGGTTGGAAATGAGTTATTGTGGTAGGGCATTCCACTCCTCTATCAGCGCAACTGACAATTACTGGATGGTCAGTGGTGCGTTTGGAGGTGCTGTAATGCCTCTACCCAGTGCATCCTACACGTGCTCCATGGGATTCAGGTCGGGGGCACGTACAGGCCACTCCATTCGCTGGATAACCTCTTGTGTAAAGAGCTCTTCCACCTGAGATGTTCGATGCGGTCGCGCATTGTTATCCATGAAAATGAATTCAGGGCTCACTGCAGCCCTGAAAAGATAGACATTAGGGAGGGGTTCCTTTTCACAGTAAAGCCGACCGTTAAGGGTGCCACGCTCAAAAATCTGGAGGTCAGTACGGTTACTAAGCATGATGCCTCCACATACCGTAACACCTCGACCACCAGAACGATCAAGTTCCACAACGTTTCTGAGAGAAGCGCGTGTCCCCAGCTCTGCCCATGAGGGTGCGTCCAGAATCACTGCTCAGACTG